AGTCTAATATCTTAACTAAAGACCACTTATCGTTACTAATGAGAGCTTGTCCCACCCTTGTTGGCAGTATGCCGGAATTTCGAACAATCGGTTGAAGTAGAAGGGCCTGGGTCCTGAAGGCTTGCAGCAGGAGCAGAATGAACCTGTGGAGGACATTTTATATCCTTAATTGGGGCCCTTGTATTTTGACCGTGATACTTAATTGGTACTGTGTTTCTAACTATATCTCCTATGACCTCTGCTTTTTCACAACGCGCTTTATCTTTACTTCTCCTAACATTCGTGCCCTTTATAAATATTGTGTCCCCTGTTTTAATGTTAAATTCCTTCTCCCCTCCTCTTTTTTTTAATACGTTGTTTCTTATCAATAGCCTTATTAGTTTAATATTCATATAAGTATTGAGTTCGTCGTTTATGTTCTTGTAATAATTTTTGTGTGTAATTTTTATTAAATTCAACGTCAAAAGTACTTGAGGAGTCAGTATGACCGAACACTACTTCGAAAGGCGTAAGGCCTGTTGTTGAGTGTATCGTTTGGTTGTACGACATGATGACATATATCATTACAGATGCGGCATCTATAATTTTTCTTTCATATTTCGCTAAGCGGTGTATTTCTAATAGGGTGGAGTGGAAACGTTCGACATGTGCCATGGAATTTGGATTGTGAGTAGTGCCTATATGCAAATCTATTTTGTAAAAACTAAGGGTTTCTTTCATTAGTACGTTATTAAATTCAGTTCCTGAATCTGCACTTACTCTGTGTGGTACGCCATACATAGAGAAGTATTTAATAAGAGCTCTAATTATTTCCGGGTTTGACCTATAGTTTATTACTATTGCTTGTCCAAGCTTACTAAAGGCATCGATGATTGTTAAGTAGGATTTTCCTTCTACAGTAAAAACATCGATAAAGATTTCCTTATTATTTCACGCTGCTCATTCTCATCCTCTACATAGACTACCCTTCGCTTGCATTCAAAGATCTTTACTGTACCCTTTTTAAATAACTCAATTACAGCCTCTGCAAATTGTTTTCGATGTGCGTCGTTCTCAAAATAAATGAATTGTTTTATTTTAGGTTTAATGTACTCCTTTAAAATTTGTTTTACTAGGTCGGGTCTATTTAGAGGAATATGAACTTCGAGTATCTTTTGTTTTTGTCTCGATAAATTCTTAACGGCTATTTCGTCCCTATACCACGTAAAAATAAATATTTGATGGAGTTTAGTATCTATGGCTTCCTCTAGAATTGGAATACCATCGATATCTATTTCATGTGCTGAATTTTTTGTATAAGTGTGTGAGTTATCAAACGTTTCGGGTGCTGAAATGGTACTACTTGTCGGTGATGGTATCGAATATGGTGATTTATTGCTCTTAGCGGATGGGATAGATAAGGTCCTCTCCGTATCTGATGATATTTCCATCGGGCTTGTGTCCTTATTTCGTAATCTTACGATTTCTTCGATTAAACTGTCTATGTGTTTTTGCAGTTGTTCATCCTTATCCACTTTAACCTTCATTGATTTTTGGTCTTCTCCCAGAGCGTTTACCTTAACACGGGATAAGGCGTCGGCAACGAAATTTTATTTCCCATTTTTATAAACGATGTCATAATCGAACTCAGCAAGCCGCAACTTCCATCTCGTGAGTTTACTGTTGGGTTCTTTGATAGAATTTAACCACGCTAAAGGTCTATGATCTGTGAAAATGGTAAATTTTCGGCCATATAGGTAAGGTCTAAATGTTTTTACGGCCCACACTATTGCCAACAGTTCCTTCTCGATGGTACTGTATCTGGTCTCTGCATCATTTAAAGTTCTACTAGCGTAAGCTATCGGTTTGTCGGCTCCGATGGCGCCTTGAGATAATACCGCTCCTAGAGCATAATTTGAGGCATCAGTGGTGAGTACAAATGGTTTTGAAAAATCTGGGAATTGTGGAATGGTTGGTGCGTTTACCAAAAGTTCTTTGCATCTCTCGAAGGCGGCTACATACTGTTCTGAAATTTCAATCATATTCCTTTTCTTGAGACAATTGGTGAGTGGTTGGGTGACTTTAGCGAAATCTTTAATGAATTTACGATAATATCCTACAAGATCCAAAAATCTTTTGATTTCGGTGGCGGTTCTTGGTATCGGAAAATCGGCTTGGATTTTGTCATTATTTGGTTTGAGTCCGTCTTTTGTTATTGTATAGCCTAAATAGAGGACTTCTTTTCTAAGAAATTCACATTTGTCTAGGGTAACTTTGAGATTTGTTTCCCGTAGTCGATCGAATACCAGTGCTCCTGTAGACTGGAAGAGTATACAATTATATCGTCGAGATATACTAAACAATGCAACCCTTGCAACCCTCTCAAAAGTTATACATAGTACGCTGAAATATTGCGGGGGCTGTCTTTAATCCGAACGGGAGGCGTGCAAATTCGTAATGGCCTGACTGGGTTGTAAATGCAGTTTTGTGTCTACCACTTTCCTCAACTTCTATCTGGTGATATCCGCTTGCCAGGTCTAACGTTGTAAAATAAATAGATTTTCCTCTAGTTTATCAAACAGGTCTGAAATATTCGGCAATGGGTACTTATCATCTATAGTGATCTCGTTCAAGCGCCTATAATCAATTACCATACGATATTACCTTTCACCTGAAGCGTCGAGTTTTTTGGGAACCCGATGGACAGGTGCGCTCCAAGGCGAGTGAGATTCTTTAACAACATTATTTTGGAGGAGCTTTTCGACTTGTTTCTATATTTCCTCATTTATTGCAGGTGGATATCTGTATGGCTTAATGTATATGGGGTCTTCATTTTTAGTACGTATTTTGTGTTTTAAACTGTTGGTGAATGAGAGTGGAATATCGTCGCAATAGAAAATATCCCGATAGTCGTAGCACAGTTTTTTGATACATTCACGCTCTTCCTCATTTACATGATCCACACGTAATTTCGACAAATTTTGTTTTAAAAGTTCATCTATATCGCAGTTATCTTTCATGAAATTCGCTCTGCATTCTTCAGCTATATATTTGGTTACTTTTAGGGGCTTAGAGAACGTCTAGGTAACCCTATCGTCGAACGCATTTTGTATCACTGTGTATGCAAACGAATTAACGCATTTTATTATATCCTAACACCTTGACCACAATCGACATAATCTATTATCGCATTTCCATTTTGCATATCCCTTGGGACCCTGACTCGCGTTTCCGTTCTTGGTTCCAATGTAATTTCGTATGGGGGGCTATATATAATAGGTATTTTTGTATCACGTGTATGCAGTACTTGGTTTTTCATATCTGTTGAAGCGTCAAGTTGTTTTAAAAGATCCGAACCTATCAAACCGTCGTATCTACTATCGACGTCGTATATATAGAATTTATGTTTTTCGAAACTTTTAAATGTTTTAAAGAGCGGGATATTATAGCTTCGTTACGATGGCTACGTGCATGCATACTTATAACTTCGAAAGGTTCATATAATTTGAAAGCGGAGAAATATTGTTCTGCCTTAGAGGGGCTTATAAAAGATCGCGTACTTCCGGTGTCTATCATAAAACGAGCCTGAATTTCCGGTATTTCGATGTGCGGGAGTTTTAAAATTGTGTCACAATTTATTTGTATTATTTCGGGGGTGAATCGGAGGCTTCTATTTGAAATTTTTTATTATCATTCGAAATTATATCAGGGTTGTAACTTGTTTCTTCTATTTGACTATACGGTTCAACTTCAAATTGGGGCACTTCTAAATTATATGTGTAGTTATTTTCGTTACAGTAATTTATATCATGGTTATAATAATCCGCTGGTATTTCGGGTTCGTTATTATAGAATATCTCGTTATCTTGGGGAACCCTAGAGTCATCTAGCATATTTTGTCTTAGCGGACGTGCGGTACGCATAGAGACATCGGTATTTTCATTTAAATTTTGTTTCTGGAAATTCTGATTAGGTATACCAAATTTAAAATTATTTTGGGGTTGATTTGTAAAAGCTAGTGGGGGTCGCGCATGATTATTCACGTGTGGCCTAAAGCCCTGGTATTGTTGGAGTATGCCAAATTTAAAGTTAGATTGCTGGTTTGGAATACCGAACTTAAAGATCTGTGGTCCCGTATTATTAATATTAACTCTTGAGCCATTATTAAAATTATTTTGAGAAATAAATCGTTGACCTTGTTGCTGATGTGGGATACCAAATTAAATTTATTCTGTGGTCCAAATTGTGGATTTGCAAATTTAAAATACGAGTGATTATTATTAGGTAAAATATTAACACTTTGTTGGGGTTTGAAATTTTAGGATATTATATACTGTTCCATTTTATTTTTAGCATTGTATTGGGTCATGAAGTTCACTTCCTCGGTTACGACACTTAAAGCGGATTCTAAACTAGTAAATTGTTTAAGACGCACGATACGAATTAAATCCTCGGGTAAATTATAAATAATAATAATAATAAATAATAATAATATGGCGTAGGGAATTGACGACCGCATCGCCCGCTGACGTAACAGTTAAGTGACAAAACTGCTACGTCAAAGCAGTCAGTCAGCGCCTTGCGAGAGGTGTGAGCGCCGTGCCTCGGCAGAATTCAGGGTGCAAAGGCCCGTTTGTGCTTATGGCCGTACACGATACGGTGCCGGGTCTGGGCGTCTCCCGTTAATGGACGCCCATATTATGGATGATGGAGAAAAAGATAGTGCGCAAAGGGCCGCTGCCTGGAGGTCGCCACGGCGCGTCTGGAGCTGGCGCTGGACGCGACAGCATGCGGGCCGCCAGCCGAGCGCGGGGTGTTGCAAGACCACCTAGCAGCCCCCGCATCCATCATCCCCACCAGAAGGCTTGGTGTCGGCTGGGTCTTCTCGGACTCAGCAAGCGGCACCCGCCGCTGGTGGAGCACGTCGCATGCGTTGGTCTAAATCAATGAATGAAAACGCACTGCGGGCGTATTTTAGGGCAAAAGGGGAAGAAACTGGATGTTTGGCGTACCGGGCGCGGATGCATCGCTTTTTTGCAGAGCTGGAGCCATCTCTATCCGTCACTGAGCAAAACCTGGCAGACCGAGTTAGGTACATCCTGCGCTCCAACATATTTGGTGACGCCGAACTCGAGCGACTACGACGTGAGGCTATTCCTTCATCGAATGGAAATGCTACGGCTGGGAATGTGGCGCCACTAGATGCGCAACAAACTGCATATGTGGATGCTGCCGTCAACATTCCATTTGTGGCTAATTCAGACGATGATGGAATAGTCTCCCACGAACTAGAGAAAATGAGGAGCATATTGGAAGAGTCGATGCTGGAAACGCGCAGCATGCCTCTCGAAAATCGACCGCGACTTCCCCCGCATACCCCTTAGCAAGCGAAATCGGGCTGTCGTGCGGGCTCTTAACCCAATGCTGGTGACCTATTTGGAAGCCAGCCGGGACCTTTGCGAGACGGATTCAATTCTTTTTGGCGCCGCACTGGCAGTATGCCGTATTATTGGCGCCAAACTTCCCGTGGCTGGAGGTGCTACTCAAAAAAGTAGCGCCATCCCAGCCTGGAGAAAAAAGAATTGAGGACCGTATCGCAAAGGCAAGGGCCCTTATCGGCAGACTGACAAGCTTCAAGTCGGGTAATAATAGACCGAGGATTATGCGCACCGTTAGGATGGCGTTTGCTGGGACAAATATCAATTTGTTCCAGCCGGATATCACGCAAAAACTAACGGAGCGCATAGATGACCTGAAGCAAAAAATCGCTGCTTGGGGGAAGCGGATTCGACGATTTAGCGAGAGGTCAAGGCGGTTCAACCAGAATCGTCTCTTCCAGAGTGATCAGAAGAGGCTCTATAAAACATTGGAGCGACCAGAGGTATGTGGAGCGGGCCCAGGACCGGATCAGGCTGACACTGTCGCATTTTGGCGTGGCCTGTGGTCAGAGCCCGTAAACCACAGCGAGGGCCCTTGGATGGAAGTTGTGGCGAGCCAGAGTGCAAGTGTTACGCCTATGGACCCCATCACCATAACGCCTGAAGACGTGGCTGAGGCGGTCCGTAGGGCCCCGAACTGGAAAAGTCCGGGGCTCGACGGGCTGCATCATTACTGGCTGAAGGTGTTCGTAGTGTGTCACGCTGTGCTCGCCCGACAGTTTCAAGAGGCTCTCGATCAGAAGTCGCTCCCGAGCCTCTTCACTACTGGGATCACTCATTTGGTTCCTAAAGATCAGGATACCACAGACCCGAGCAAATACCGCCCCATCACGTGTCTACCCACCATATATAAGACACTGAGATCCATTTTGAGCGCGAGAATCACTCGTCACCTGGAGCTAAATCAGGTGATGTCACGTGCTCAAAATAGATGCCGGGGCGGTGGTCGTGGAACCAAGGAACCACTCCTAATTGACGCGGTCATTGGCAAAGTGGTGAAACGCAACCGTCGGAATTTCTCCGCCGCCTGGATAGACTACAGAAAGGCATTCGACTCGGTGCCCCATACATGGCTAAAGAGAGTCCTCCAGCTGTACAAAATTGACTGTACAGTTGGAGACTTCCTCGAGCAGTGTATGGGGCAATGGAGTACGATCCTTTGCTATATGGGCGAGCGGATGATGGCTGCAGAGAACCACATAAGGATAAGAAGGGGTATCTTCCAGGGCGATTGTCTGAGTCCAATCTGGTTTTGCCTCTCCCTGAACCCTCTCAGTACATTACTGGAGGGCTCCGGGAGGGGATTTCAGCTTCGGAAAGGAGGTACAAAAGTGACCCACCTTTTCTATATGGATGATCTCAAGTTACTCGCCTCCAGTCGCTCCCATCTTATGGAATTGCTAAACATCACTTGTGAATTTAGCAATTCTAATGGAATGGAGCTGGGAACGGATAAGTGTGCGGTCCTCCATGTTGAAAGGGGGAGGGTTGCTAACTCTGAGGGCATAGACTTATCTATGCCCGTCAACTTAAGGACCCTTTCCGAGGCTGAAACATACCGATACCTGGGTATGTCACAGAACATCGGTATCGATGAGGCTGGTATGAAACAGTCAGTTTGCGACGTGTTTTATGCACGCTTGACCAAAGTGCTTAACAGCCTTTTGTCCGGTGTGAATAAGACACACGCATATAACGGCTGGGTCATGCCTGTCCTCATGTATACCTTTGGCATACTCAGGTGGACTCAGACTGAACTTAACGCCCTGGATAGAAAAGTCCGCACTACCATGACATCCCACAGGATGCATCATCCGAGATCGTCGGTAATGAGGCTGTACTTGCCGCGAAAGCATGGTGGGCGTGGCTTCTTGAGCGCGCTCACCATGCATAATCGCGAAGTGTGCAGCCTCCGTAATTACTTCCTGGCGAGATCGGATGATCCATTCTATAAGGACGTCATTTCTAGTGATAAAGGACTTACCCCTCTATCCTTAGCCAACGAGCAATGGCAAGACCCGGCAGTGCAGACAATTTCCGACCGGGAGAACGTATGGAAGGAGAAGGAGCTCCACGGGAGGTTCTACAAGGCTCTACATGAGCCTTTCGTAGACACAGTAGCCTCCCTCCACTGGCTACGCTTTGGTGATCTCTTCGGGGAAACCGAGGGTTTTGTCTGTGCAATACAGGATCAGGTTATTAAGACCAACAACTATCGGAGATACATCCTAAAGGATGGCACCGTGGACATCTGTCGAGCTTGTCGCCATCCCGGTGAGTCACTTAGGCATGTCATCTCCGGTTGTTCGGCGCTTTCTAACTCTGAGTACTTGCACAGGCACAACCTAGTAGCCAGAATTCTTCACCAGGAGCTCGCTCTGAAATACGGTCTCGTGGATCGGAAATTGCCGTATTACAAGTACTTGCCGGAAGCCGTGCTCGAAAATGATCGCGCCAGGCTCTATTGGGATCGGGCCATCATCACAGACAGGACTATTCTTGCGAATAAGCCTGATATTGTGCTGATGGACCGGGCACAGTCAAGGATATTTTTGGTCGACATTACCATTCCGTATGACGAGAACCTCGTGAAAGCCGAAACAGACAAGAAAACAAAATATCTGGACCTGGCTCACGAGGTGACCGACATGTGGGGTGGTCTGCCGACCGAAATTATTCCTGTAGTCGTCTCTGCAAACGGGCTAATCCCAGTCAGCCTCTCGGGTCATCTGAGGCGGCTGGGACTACGTGGCGGACCGCTCCAGGTTCAAATGCAGAAGGTGGTGCTCCTCGATACCGCCCGCATCGTCCGTCGGTTTCTTTCTCTTTCCCCCCTAACCCTCGGCCGTTTGGTCTCCCCTGCCGAGGGCCTCCATCTGGTTGGGCTTTTATTTATTTATGTACTTTTATATTTATTTTATGTTATTGATATTTATGTATATTTATCTTTTCATTTCCATTTATAATTATATATTTATAGAACCCAACCAGATGAGAAAACTATATAGATACCCCAAATAACAATAATAATAATAATATTAATATTTATTATTATTAATATTTATATTAATATAATATAAATATTAATAATAATAATAATATTAGATCGAGAGTTGTGCGCACCGTTAGAATGGCGTTTGCTGGGACAAATATTAGTTTGTGCCAGCCAGATATCACGCAGAAACTAACGGAGCGCATAGATGACCTGAAGCAAAAAATCGCTGCTTGGGGGAAGCGGATTCGACGATTTAGCGAGAGGTCAAGGCGGTTCAACCAAAATCGTCTCTTCCAGAGTGATCAGAAGAGGCTCTATAAATCATTGGAGCGACCAGAGGTATGTGGAGCGGGCCTAGGACCGGATCAGGCTGACACTGTCGCATTTTGGCGTGGCCTGTGGTCAGAGCCCGTAAACCACAGCGAGGGCCCTTGGATGGAAGTTGTGGCGAGCCAGAGTGCAAGTGTTACGCCTATGGACCCCGTCACCATAACGCCTGAAGACGTGGCTGAGGCGGTCCGTAGGGCCCCAAACTGGAAAAGTCCGGGGCTCGACGGGCTGCATCATTACTGGCTGAAGGGGTTCGTAGTGTGTCACGCTGTGCTCGCCCGACAGTATCAAGAGGCTCTCGATCAGAGGTCGCTCCCGAGCCTCTTCACTACTGGGATCACTCACTTGGTTCCTAAAGATCAGGATACCACAGACCCGAGCAAATACCGCCCCATCACGTGTCTACCCACTATATATAAGACACTGACATCCATTTTGAGCGCGAGAATCACTCGTCACCTGGAGCTAAATCAGGTGATGTCACGCGCTCAAAATGGATGTCGGGGTGGTGGTCGTGGAACCAAGGAACCACTCCTCATTGACGCGGTCATTGGCAAAGTGGTGAAACGCAACCGTCGGAACTTCTCCGCCGCCTGGATAGACTACAGAAAAGCATTGGAATCGGTGCCCCATGCATGGCTAAAGAGGGTCCTCGAGCTGTACAAGATTGACTATACAGTTAGAGACTTCCTCGAGCAGTGTATGGGGCAGTGGAGTACGATCCTCTGTTATCAGGGCGAGCGGATGATGGCTGCGGAGAACCACATAAGGATAAGAAGGGGTATCTTCCAGGGCGATTGTCTGAGTCCAATCTGGTTCTGCCTCTCTCTGAACCCTCTCAGTACCTTACTGGAGGGCTCCGGGAGAGGATTTCAGCTACGGAAAGGAGGAATAAAAGTGACCCACCTTTTCTATATGGATGACCTCAAGTTATTCGCCTCCAGTCGCTCCCATCTTATGGAATTGCTAAACATCACTTGTGAATTTAGCAATTCCATTGGAATGGAGCTGGGGACGGATAAGTGTGCGGTCCTTCATGTTGAAAGGGGAAGGGTTGCTAACTCTGAGGGCATAGATTTATCTATGCCCGTCAACTTAAAGACCCTTTCCGAGGCTGAAACATACCGATACCTAGGTATGTCACAGAACATCGGTATCGATGAGGCTGGTATGAAACAGTCAGTTTGCGACGTGTTTTATGCACGCTTGACCAAAGTGCTTAACAGCCTTTTGTCCGGTGTGAATAAGACACACGCATATAACGGTTGGGTCATGCCTGTCCTCATATATACCTTTGGCATACTCAGGTGGACTCAGACCGAACTTAACGCCCTGGATAGAAAAGTCCGCACTACCATGACGTCCCATAGGATGCATCATCCGAGATCGTCGGTAATGAGGCTGTACTTGCCGCGAAAGCATGGTGGGCGTGGTTTTCTGAGCGCGCTCACCATGCATAATCGCGAAGTGTGCAGCCTCCGTGATTACTTCCTGGCGAGATCGGATGATCCATTCTATAATAACGTCATTTCTAGTGATAAAAGGCTTACCCCTCTATCCTTAGCCCACGAGCAATGGCAGGACCCAGCAGTGCTTAGCATTTCCGACCGGGAGACCGTATGGAAGGAGAAGGAGCTCCATGGGAGGTACTACAGGGCTCTTCATGAGCCCTTCGTAGATACAGTCGCCTCCCTCAACTGGCTACGTTTCGGTGACCTCTTCGGGGAATACGAGGGTTTTGTCTGTGCAATACAGGATCAGGTTATTAAGACCAACAACTATCGGAGATACATCCTAAAGGATGGCACCGTCGACGTCTGTCGAGCTTGTCGCCATCCCGGGGAATTACTTAGGCATGTCATCTCCGGTTGTTCGGCGCTTTCTAACTCTGAGTACTTGCACAGGCACAACCTAGTAGCCAGAATTCTACACCAGGAGCTCGCTCTGAAATACGGTCTCGTGGACCGGAAATTGCCGTATTACAAGTACTTGCCGGAAGCCGTGCTCGAAAATGACCGCGCCAGGCTCTACTGGGACCGGGCCATCATCACAGACAGGACTATTCTTGCGAATAAGCCTGATATTATGCTGATGGACCGGGCACAGTCAAGGATATTTTTGGATGACATTACCATTCCGTATGACGAGAACCTCGTGAAAGCCGAAACAGACAAGCAAACAAAATATCTGGACCTGGCTCACGAGGTGACCGACATGTGGGGTGGTCTGCCGACCGAAATTATTCCTGTAGTCGTCTCTGCAAACGGGCTAATCCCAGTCAGCCTCTCGGGTCATCTGAGGCGACTGGGACTACGTGGCGGACCGCTCCGGGCTCAAATGCAGAAGGCGGTGCTCCTCGATACCGCCCGCATCGTCCGCCGGTTTCTTTCTCTTTCCCCCTAACCCTCGGCCGTTTGGTCTCCCCTGCCGAGGGCCTCCATCTGGTTGGGCTTTTATTTATTTAAGTATTTTTATATTTATTTTATGTTATTGATATTTATGTATATTTATCTTTTCATTCTCATTTATAATTATATATTTATAGAACCCAACCAGATGAGAAAAAAAGATCGCTAAGGCAATAAGAGGTTATCGGTCGAATAGTGGAATGCGCGGGAAATTCGAAATAGTTTGAAACAGTTTACGAGTTATTTTATTAGTTGATATTATTGATGGATTCAGTTTGATAAGGCAAGCCCGGCTATTCGGCTTCTATGGAGGCTTCGCCACTGATTATAGCCAGGGTATTCCACCTTAAGGTGAAAAATACGATGGCTCTTCTTACCAAAGGCAATCTATTTGGGCGATGCGTTGCTTTATATACTCGGTCGAATGGCAAAAACGGGGTCTTCGCCATATTCACATCTTACTATGGCTAGAGCAGCGTATCACCCCAGATAAATTGAAAATGTTATTAAAGCTTAAATGCCTGATCCTGAGCAAGATCCTCTCCTCTACGATATTGTGAAGGCCAACATGATACATGGCCCTTCTCATATTAATGTGGAGTACAGCAGCTCTGTTAAGTCTATCAAGTATATTTGTAAATACGTGAACAAGGGTAGTGATCAAACAGCCTTTACTATAGATGATGAGAAAGATGAGGTGAAAATGTACGAAAGCGATACATAAGTAGTTCCGAAGCAGTTTGGAGGATCTAAGCTTTCCCATTCATGAAAGGTTTCCTCCCTTCCTACGTCTCGCGGTTCACCTTGAAAACGGCCAACGTGTATATTTTATCTCTAATAACCTGTCAGAAAAAATAAAGAGTCCACCTCAAACAACGCTGCTAGCGTTTTTTGAAATCTGCAGAACGGACAATTATGCCGTGACACTGCTGTACTCTGAAGTCCCTTCTTACTTTGTCTGGAACAAAAATAAATTTTCTAGAAGAAAAAGAGGGCAAGTTGTAGAGGGCTGGCCCGGAGTGAGAAAAGAGCACGTTCTGGGTAGGGTCTACACCATTCATCCAAACAACACCGAGTGCTACCACCTACGCCTGCTGCTCCATGATCACTCGCACTCGGTGTTGTTTGGATGAATGGTGTAGACCCTACCCAGAACGTGCTCTTTTCTCACTCCGGGTCAGCCCTCTACAACTTGCCCTCTTTTTCTTCTAGAAAATTTATTTTTGTGAGGTTAGAGGACCGACATCTTTTGAAGACTTAAAGACTGTGAATGGTATCCTCCATCCAACATTTCAGTCTGCATGTAACTCTTGGATTGCTCGAAGACGACAAGCAGTGGGACACTTCTTTAGAGGAAGCTGCATTGTGTGCCACTTCTTTGAAGCTGCGAGAGCTATTCACAATAATGTTAATTTTCTGTCAACTCTGATCCTTTAAGCCTTTGGGAGAAACACAAAGACAGTCTCTCGGAAGACATTGACGGCAAATGGAGAGAGAATTGCAAGATAGTGCGCAACTGCTCATAGACGAAGTATACTGTGTATGTATGCTTGATATTGATGGAGGATGCAGTGTTAACTCAAGCAGGACAAAACTTGGCACAATATGGAATGCTTCAGCCAAAAAGATCTGCAGAAACTTTCAGAAATCGAGAATACCTCAGGGAGACCAATTATGACCTTGGTATTCTAAGAGAAGTGGTGTCCTCTAATAAGAAGAGACTTCCGTCAGACTCTACCGATAGTGCCGAGGGGAACTCGAGCTGACGAATGAAGGCTTGCATTAACACGTTGAAGGCCGCGCGGCCCACCGGTGAGCCTATCATGACTTTACATTGGGGCCAAGTCAAAATCACGTAATCCGTAATTTTTCACAACTCCAGATTTTTATACCAAAGTTTGATGAATGTAATGATATGCGTAATGAAAATAGGCAAAATCTATGGACTAGTTTAAGAGATATAGCAAGAGGCTCACCGGTGGGCCGCGTAGACTCCTAGGAGGGTTTACATAATTTCTGTACGCGGGGGCCACGGGGTTACGCTGCGGCTCACCACGTATCTCCCATCAGTGTTGCCGTTTTAGCGCATTTGGCGCTAAATCTAGTGCAATTCTAGGATCTATAGCACTTTTTTTTAAATATCTAAGCGCTCAAAATATCTAGTGGAATCTGGCAGAAAGTTTGATATAAGTTGGCAGCACAGTGTGATAAAAAATACTAGCGAGTCTATCGTTCGTGATCGTTCGGATATACTCCGACCAAAATGTTGCTGATGCATTAATTGTTTTACCTCAATGATTTCAAAAGAAAAGATAGGCCCATCTAAATATTTTACTCATAACTTTTTCATACAAGAAAAAGTAGCGCATCTGCCATAATACAAACGTCATATCAAAACACGATGTAACCAGGGTCGGATTTCGTAGTATAATTATTCTAATTGTACCATTATTTCATAGTTTGTAGTACATAGTATCGTAGTAATACTAAGCGAAAATACCATAATTTTACCTAAAAGTCAACTTGTATTATTATTGGGCCCTTTTACATTTTAATATTAACCCTACGATATCGAGAATTTCTATACTGTAAATGAGTACCGCGTTTTTTAATAAAATTAGAATTAGCTCCCTTTCTGGTCAATCGATGCTCGATCGATGCATTTATGTTGTATCCTTGATACAACTATAATGTGGGGCTACCACGATAAAAATTATATGCTCCGGAAGCAATCGGTTTAAAAACAGAATTTCGAAATAATTTATGAATCAGATTTTCAGATTCAATTAAGCAGATATGATTACTTTTGTACTCTTTTTGTTTTACCCTTATTGAATATAAAATATATTAGGTACCAATATTCAAAATTTAACTTACACTAAGTACTGTTACGAGCTTGAGGTTCGTGACAATAAAAATTGCCGATAAAATTACCTAAATTAACACTTTAATTTACTTTACACAAATTAAAACTAAAAACACTAATAATTAA